GAAGGTGGCTGAGTTCTTCCCTTTCTGCCCTCTGGCTTTCCATAGTGTTTTCCAGAAAGTGGACTTTATTTTTCATATTTAATATTTCATTCTTTTTTGCCTGTGAAATTAATAATCCATATAATGGTGTTCCTTTCCAAAGAAATACAACACTTTTGCATACAACTATTCTAGGAGGCAAATACTTGATCACAACCAAAACAGAACATGATTCTGCTATCAAGACGAGTCAGAAATATCTGTGCAGAGGCACCGCTGGGCTCTGAGAACCCATATTCTATGCTTGGACATCAGGTCTTGACTTCTTCAAGGTCCCAGTGGTGTTTGAGTCCCCTGCTATGGTCTGTTTCTTTCCTGGGGCTTAAGGGGGTGACTGAATGAGCACTGGGATCCAGAAATATTAAAGTCAAGATTATTTTAATGTATAAGTTTTAAAGTGTATTCTATCTTTCATTTTAACAGGCTCAATAGCAGATGTCAAAATCTCAGTATCAGGGAATATGGGGGGGGGCACGTTTTCCTGGGCCTTTTTCCTTTTAACTATCCCATTGTATATATTATGACTAGGTGCCCTTGTGAGCAGTTCCTCAAGTTAATCGTTTTATGAGAATTGAAATGTGCATCTATATAGCTCTATATTTGTATCTCTGTTGTGTGCCAGAAGCACAGTATCTAAATTCATAGACTTCCCTTCCCAACTTCCATATGTTCTGACGGACTGGTCTGAAAGACTTTAAACAATGGCTGTAAACAAGGGGAAATTCATTTGAAGGTAGAAAGNAAAAAAAAATCGAATTTGTTTTCTTCCTTTAAAGAGCTTGCACTTGAGTTGGGGGCAGGGGGAGTAATTGAGAATCAAGATGCTAAAATGACAGATGTGTGGAATAAATGATGAGAGTTCTCGAAATTTAGAAGAGAGGAAAATCAGTCCTAGTGAGGAGGTAGAATTGTTGGAAGGTCAGGCAGAGTTTAGATGGTGGAGGAGAGAGAAAAGGACCTGCCAGAGAACAGCAGCCTGAGAGTCCAGGCTTTTGTTTTAAGGGACAAAAACAAGTTGTTAGGCTGGGCCATAAGGGAGGCTAGAGCTACAGTGAGAGAAAAGTTAGAGGCCAGATGGTGGAGAGCTTGTCATAGCAGAATAAGCAATTTGGCTTTTATTTATGATACCATAATTTATATTTAATGTCATCGTTTAAAACTGAGGGTCTTCCAGACATTTGGGGCAAGTCTCACCTTTTCCTTGACTTGGTGGAACTGCACTGTCTTGTACAGGGTGTCCTCATAGTCTAGGATTCTCTCTTTCTGTTTTTGATGGAAGTGAATGAGGTCCTTCAGTTGTTGGGACTTGTCTTTCACAGGAGCTCCTTTGCCACTTAATTCTTCTGATTCTTGTATAATGTACTGAACCTCATCATTCAGTTGCTAAAATGTTGAAAGCAATAAAAGAAATCCAACTTTTAGAGAGCTTTTTGCTTTACAACTGACTCTATAAAGATCTAAATAGCCAATCATTTTTCTCGTGTCCACAAAAACTTACTGCGAGCCCCACCCCCACCCCCGCAAATCCAGGCAATGTGTTTGAGGCTAGGGTTACATTATCCCACTCCTGTCTTCCCAGGATTTTTTTTTTTAATTATGAGCAATGCAAAGCACGTATTTGAAAGCTAGGTGGTGAGATGGAAAGTCATGTGTTTCTATAGTNGATATCAGAGGGGTAGTAAACTTGGTGGGGTTATCACTTTATGAGGTGTGTAAATGTCTAATCACTATGTTGTTTTATACACTTGAATCTAATAAAAAAATAATTTAAAAAACCATGGTTCTTTGCCTTTAAGGAATTATCACATCACATAAAAAAAAATCACATTTAGAAACCTCACTTTATTTTGCCTTGAGGTACCAAGTCCTTTCCTAAGGGCCTTTAGTGTTAAGTAAAACCATGTAAGCTAGTTATGCCTACATCAAGAAAGTAATTTTGAAATAACCAAATGAACTGTGCTATTATATCAGATCCCATAAACAGCTTATAACAGATATGCCAGAAAATAAAGATAGAAGAGGAAAACATAGAAAAAGGATACATTTAACATCAGATCATGCAATGGTTGAATGAACTAAAATATTAAGTGAATGGTGAAGTTGGAGTTTAGCAAGTGACAAGTATGTTGGTGGCCAATAAATGAGCCTCTGGCCCACAGTTGTCTCCCTTTGACACTTTGGGCAGAAACTCTGCAGTCCTGTTTTACATTGCTCAAATGAAAATTGTATACACCTCAGTTTTCTCACCTGAAAAATGAAGATATCAAACTAGACATCCTCCAAAATCAGTGTCACTCAGAGTCTGTGAACTTCCAAGAAGCTCTTTTAACACATTAGAAGCAAAACAATGTGTTTTCAAATCAACTTAAAACAATCAAATGCTATGCTTGGTCTAGTTCCCTGGTGGGGTACCTGATTTTTTTTTTTAATATACAGAAAAAGTAGTATAACATATTGCTTTTAATTTTACATAATGTTTTAAGTACCTATACCAAATATTAGTGATAATAATAACAATAAAAATATCTTGGTGTCACATATTATCACCCCTTGGAATCTGACCATATGTTGACGCTCTGAGGTTCACAAAACAAACTAGAACACACAGCTCTTTATTTTACTAAAGGTCACTGAAAATGCTCCTTCTGGTAGTTGTCCCATTTAGGCTCAAGATTGGAAAGTCCAGGGTGTAGATACTACACTGTGATATGCCTGCTATTGGGTTGTTGGAAAAATCATGATGCATTTTTGCAATGAAAAACATAGAATAAATACTTCATGACTTTTCCGACAACCCAATATATCTCTACAAGAAAGGAAAAGGGAACAGGCCCAAAGATTTTCAAAGATCCTTTAAATGTGAAACTGTAACCTACATCAAAGATTTGTTGGATTTGAAACAAATGGGAAGAGTAGCTTTTTCTTTTTTAAAGATTTTATTGAGGAATTGGGGGAGGGGAGCAGCATTGGGGAATCAGGGAAGGGGAACAGACAAGTTGCTGTC